GTTTTTTTGTTTGCTTGTTTCTGTTGGTATTAGTTTACCTCAAATTGCATTTGGTTTCATTCTCAGATTCCCTCAAAGAAAAGGACTTGAGGCTCTAATTTGTTTCTCTCGGGACTCACTGTTTTACCAGATTCTAGTTCGCCAAGTCTCAATTTTGAGTACACTAAACATTGAACCTCAAAGTAAGTTTTAGCGTTAAAATCTCTTTCTTTAAAAACTGGGTTTTCTTTAGCTTCGAAAAAATCCAGTTGGGCAATCGGTGCTTTCGCTAATCCCTTTGATTTGTGACAAACGGGATTTTGGAGAAATAAGCATTCGACGAACTAGTTCTCTACTAAGGTTTGCTGCTCGGGTACAAGGAGTCTAGTATACTTTGAGGAATTGGTTTAAGTTTTTGCTGATCATGTAGAATTTAGAATTCGAAAGGGGTTCAATTGTAGTCATGTTCTATGGTGCCGTGGTATGTGACCCTTGGCTTATTGAGCCCAAATTGTTTGCCTTCAATGTTTATACTACCTCACACTTGGGGTTTAATTGTCATTTTTTGTTGGTACTCGTGTTTCTCGTATGAGTTTGGTCTATTTCTTTGACTCTGCCGCTGTTACTACCTCTACGGTTACTGGGTGATGCGTCATTGCTTCCTTTCTGCTCAATTCTATTGCGGGGTGAGAATGTAGTTTCGATTTTGTCTTTTAACTGTGCCCCATTTGTTTGCTTTTCTGCATATAGCACCTTTGGCTTATGATTAAACTGCAAAATATCTACAATCCACATCTCTTGTTTCTTCATCACTTCTAGGTTTTAGGACTGGCTTGGTTCAATGATCAGATTGCGATTTACAGTTGTGATATTTGCCTGTGTCATGCGTTCTATAATTTCTGTAGAAGTGGAGATTCACAAACCCTGCACATGAATTATAAAATTGAATATAAGAGTATTGGATCTTGAATATTTTTAGGATATTAGTAGCTAACCTGGAAAAGTTACACCTACCTGCCTAATTTATTGCATCTGTTACTGTTTACTTTTGCTGATACAATTGGTGTCCTATATGAGGGAGGTACGCTTGTGAACTAATATCCAGAACTAGATAATGCTTCTGTGAGATCTTGTTTTAACCTAAGCTGTATTTTATATGTTCATGTACATATAGAAATTGAATTTGTATAAGAAGTTTAGAGATGTTAACGGTACTCAACAGTTTCTAAATTGACCTCATTTTAACTTTTGTTTTATTTGGATCATTGCAGAGCTGGTACATGCTTTATCTTATTGAAAGGGCAAAGAAATGCTTAGATTTCTCAGCCACGCTCTATATTATTCATCTTTTTATATGCATCATGTATGGAGGTTGGCCTTCCTCAATAACATGGTGGGTTATAAATGTTACTGTAGTTGCAGTGATGGTTTTGCTAGGTGAATATTTATGCATTAGACGGGAACTCAGAGAAATCCCCATCACACTACATCGATCAAGTAAGAAATAATTCCTATATATGTTAAAAGTGGCTTCTTAAAATAACTGTAATGTGATTCTCTTTCTTTATTATTGTATTGCCTTCCTTTTCTTTTGGGGCTCTTATCGTCCTGCTCCTGCTCTTCTTAATATATCCCGTTTGATGCTTGGTCTGCCAACTAAATTCTGCATTTAACTAGACGGTCTTATGCTCGAAGGGAGCATGATGCTTTTCTGCATTTAACTAATTCCTGTCATTTGTGTTTTTATTACGCCTTTTGTCTATTGTAGCACTGCTCTCTTGTTCTCCAAATTATTTCTCTATTGCGTGGGCTGTTATTGGCTTGCAGCCTTAGGCTTTGCATGGTAGAGTGGAAAGAAATTGGAAGGATGGAAAATTATAAGATTAGGAATGTGGAAAGATGGAAAACTATTTTTTACTTTAACGATGAAAAAATTAAAAGAAAATGCAATTCTCTTTCCATTCATTGCTTGGAAAATGATCATCCCTATTTTCCTTTGAAAAATTACATATTTTGAACTAACTCACATTTTCTCTCATCTTTTCCTTCCAAATTGGAATGATTTGTTTTTACAGGTGAGTATGGAAAATGATCATCTCTCTCATTTTCTTCCCCCTCACTTTTCTTTCCTACCAAGGACACTCAATTTATTTTCTTTTTACTTTTCCACTCCCTCCAATCCTCCATTTTTCTACCCGTTACCAAGCAAAGCCTTTGTTTGTTTGCATTATTTTTTATCTACACAATGCCTGTTTTAGGGGATGTACTTAATTTTATTATTTTTTAATAGAACTTCTGAACCATTATTTCAGTTGAGATGATTTAGTTGGGGGAGAAATCTTACTCTTGCTAAAGTAGTTATATCACTTCCAAGTGCTTAAAAGTGTTCGATGGCTCACATGCGGCCGAGAAATTTTTGTTGGCTTGTAGTGTCATTTAAACTCTTGGGGAAGCATTTCCTGGGGAAAAAAGAAATCTTTTTGATGATTAACCCCTAATTGTGAAAAAAGATACAGTGCATGTTAGTTAAATTAGAAAAATATGAGTTTGGAACTATGTCAAGTAAAAACATAAATGATTCAAATACTTCCCCAGGACTGCTAGTTTATAGTTGAACTTTAGTATGCCTTTGTATTTACATCTGTTTCTTTCTGGTTAACAGTTTTTTTCCTTTTAATTGCACATGTTTGATGGTGCAGAATCAATTACGAAGAAATTCCTCGTGGCATTAAATTCATTGTTTTCCACTGTTTTGGAGGTGTTGATTCGGATATAATTCTCTGAATGTCAAGTACAATTTGATATGAGAAAGAACCAGCTTACGCTACACAATCTATTTTCGGTGCCTGAGTTCCGAAGTTGTTAGAGTGAAACCATAAAAGTTTGGTATATACTTAAGCGAGATGAAGCTGAAGCACGTAAGGGCCAGGTATGCATTTTGGCTCTGACATTTGAGAAGACATGATACACTGTCTCTGGTGCTCTGTTTCTGATTTTATCTACATAGCTGATTAGTTCTTAATTCTTTAATCAATTGTTTGGTTTGTAATATGCTGTCTCTGTCATGTCTTCTACTTAAGATTAACATTTTTTACCGAGGATTATAACTTCCATCTCTCCATTAAACCAAAGCCACATGCTTAAATCCTTTGGGTTTCTGGCAAAATTTTAAGGAAACACAGTCTTCTTCTTGCCAAATGTCTAGAATTGTTTGTGGTTACAGTTTTTCTTTGGTGAAAGTATTTGATAGGTCCCTCTATTCGATTACAGTTATTTGCTCAAATTTGTTCTTGTATTATGAGGACAAGTTCAAAGCTTAAAATTTAGTCTCGATGTTTAAAAATCATAAAATTAAATTAAATTTTTTGATAGAGTCAACATTCACTATTTTTAAAAGATGTCATTTATTATTTAATAGAGTTGATATTTCTAAACTTTTATGATTATTCTACAAAGAAATTTATTGGGAAACAAACATTACCGGAAGCATCCTCAATTTGCAAATCATGTTAATGCCACTTGTATCCATGGCTGTAACAACCGATAATATTGCTGATCGAGTACCTGATATTTTGAGTATCCGAACACTTGAATTTCCGGCGCTTTAGATATCCGAACATGCGAATAGCCGATAAACATCTCTACTCACAATTGATTAAAGATAGCTTACAATATTATTGCAATTAATAACAATAACAATAACCTCCTGGGGATTCAATGAAGATGAACTCTTCCAGTCCTTTTCTGGAGGAAACTGGAAAGAAAATCCCAAATGAGATTCCAAAGAGAAGGAAGAAAGGAGGGGGAAATATACAATATTGCAAGGAAGAAAGGAAGAAAATCAAATGAAAGTGATATGCTGTCTCTGATTAAATGGTTAAAGATGAACTCTTCGGCCGATTGCTGCAATGTTTACTAGTGGAAACTTCCTCGTGAGACATGTTCCTCGCAGTCGTAATTTGGCAGCTGATCATTTGGCCAAGTTGGCTTCTGGTTCCTTTTCTGGATGAGTAGTGCATTCGTGTGTTGGTTTGTTTTCTTGCTTTTGTTTGGCGTTTACCTGATGGGTTTATGGTAGGGATGGGCATGTGATCCGAATCCGACGGGTTTCGACCCGACTCGACCCGACTCAATCGTGTCGGGTTTTTCTATAAAAAAAAAAATCGGGGTCGGGTCGGGTTCAGGTTTAGGGTGAAAAAAATCCGACCCGATCCGGAAAAATATATAATTTACCCTATATATTTAGGGATAATTATAATAATACCCCTCTCTATATATTTTTTTCAATTAAATCATTGTTTTTATTGAATAAAAATATATATTTTTTATTTCGGATCGGGTTGAGTTTCTATATCATATAATCGGATCGGGTGGAGGCTCTCTTGTTCTCGGATTGGGTGGACCAAAAACCCGATCCATGCCCATCTCTAATTTATGGTTGTATTTGGTGGTGGTTGTCTGTTCTTGTGCCCAATTTTTTTTTTCTCGGTTTAGATTTATGAAGGTTTTTTAACGAAGCCTCATGCAATGCTTTTAGATCCTAGCAATAAAATAATATTTTCTTTTTAAAAAAAGAAAATAAAATATAATGAATTTAAAAATCCCACTATTGTGACAATTTTACATTTTGGATATATAAATATTCACGAAAATATAAAATATCGATGAAGGGAAAGTCAAAGCCACGTTACCTTCTACTTTCCTTTGTCATCTTTCGACATCTGTTTCCCCGAAAGAAGTAACCACTTGGTGTGTGTTTTCCCTATCATATGGTCAAAAAAACAACGAACAACGTGTAAGGTTAATCGTGACCGTTCATTCCCACGCGTCGTAAGTGATCAACGGACAAGGAAACGTCGAATGACACTTCATAGGAAAGACCGAAAATTCTATGGCAACGGAAGATGTGGTGAAAACGAAGAAATGCTCAAATGCATGCATGTTGTATTCATCATTTTCCTTAATGGCAAAGATTGCCCAACTACTATATAATCACTTCTTGCCTTCTCCAATTTACTCCCAGCTTGATTCATTTAATCGCAAGAAATTTCAGCTTTTGAAACTTTATTCTCCTTTCCCACAAAAACCAACTTCAAACAATGGTGAGGCTTGTCATTTATAATTAATTGTTTTTTCGAGTTGGAAATTTTCATGTAATTTTTACTGATAATTTTGTGTTTTTCCTGTCCCTCTCATTTGCGTTACTATATATTGTGGATGAGAAAGGCCCACTTACTTAAATTTGAGGTATATTACCATCTTCTTCTCCTCTTTCATATGATGAAGGAATTTTACTGAGTTTGATGGGAATTATATTATCTTTTGGTGCAGAAAGAATCTGTTCAAACTTCAGAGAGAGTGAAGTGTGTGGATCTGCATTCATCGAAACCATGGTATTCAAACGTTCTTTTCTTTAACCATTTAATCATATAGTTTCCGAATTCATTGGGGGTACTCGGCAGTAAAAAAAGAATGTTAATCTCCCTAGAATGAGAATCTGAGTTCGAGTATTTACGTTTGCAGAGTGTGTGCGTTCTCGACAAGCTAAGAAAAATTCTGAACAGATGTTAAAGTGTTTTAAATGACAAATTTTCATGCAGGATTTTAGCCGCTTTGTACTCCGGAAATGTGTGTATATGGAACTATCAGTCACAGGTATGGCAATTCAATATGTATGTATGCATGTAAACAAAAACAGAAAGACTAGTTGATGAAGAAAAGAAACAACAATGCTTGGATTTCTTACTAATATACTAAGCACTAACTCAAATTTCCAATGTTTCTGTAGAAAATAGAAAAGTCCTTCAAGGTCACCGAATCACCAGGTGGAGATATAATCTTTTGTTCTCTAATAAATATTCACAGTTCTAGCAATTCTCTCTTGTTAGCTTAACTAGGAAAGTCTCTAATGTGCATCAAAATGTATTTGGAAATTGCAGTAAGGTCAGCCAAGTTCATAGAACGGGAAAACTGGATTGTCGTTGGAGCTGATGATGGTGTCATCCGCGTATTCAACTACGATACGACAGAAATGATCAAAGAAATCGAGGCGCATACCGATTACGTTCGGAGTCTGGCTATTCATCCGACACTTCCATACGTGTTGTCGGCCTCCGACGACAAGCTTATAAAGCTGTGGGACTGGGAGAAGGGTTGGATCTGCAGTAGGGTGTTCGAGGGACATGGACATTATGTGATGCAAGCCGCTTTCGATCCGAAAGAACTCGACACTTTCGCAAGTGTATCGCTCGACGGCACCATTAAGGTACCTGAAAACAGAAAAACGTGCTTAAACATTGTTGAAATATTAGAAATGTTCTGTTTGTTTGTCTGAAAATGTCCCGAATTTTCAGATTTGGAACATGGATTCTGGATCTCTGGAGTCTACATTGGATGCTCATTCGGAAGGGATTGATTGCATTGAATACTTCATGGCTGGTGATAAACCATTTCTGATCACTGGTTCTGATGATTTCACTGCTAAGGTTTGTAACCAATCACACTTCCTCGACTATAACTTCGATTCTGTTGTGTTTATCGCAGTTACGGATATAATTTCACATTTTTCGGGATCATAAACTCTGACTGATCAACAGGTATGGGACTATGAAACCAAATGTTGTGTCCAAGAACTAGAAGGGCATGCACATAATGTTACTGCAATAAGTGTCCACCCTGACCTTCCAATTATAATTACTTGTTCTGAAGATGGCACCGTCGGTGTCTGGGACAAAACAAGCTACAGGTAACTTTCCTTTGCAGCTAATAACTTTTAGGGTAAACTACACCCATGACTGCTAGCGGATTTCACGTTAACAATTGATCTTTTAATTTTGTTAATCAAGTTACTTATTTTTTTAAGTATAACTAATAAAATCATTTCTCGACTCTCGTTAATATTTAATGAAAGAAGTGACGTGACTGTTAAAAAATCAATATAATTACATATTTGACCCTTAATATTTATATATTATATTAATTTACTCTTAATTTTAATTCAATTAAATAAACTTAATCTCTAATTAGATGATAGCATGTGTCACTCCCTAATTAGAGGATGTTTTCTTAATTTTAATTTATTGGGACAAGGAAAAATTTTGTGCGCGCATGAACCACTCGACCAAACCCCTTATTTGGTAATATATTACAACATTAATAATATAAAAGAATGTTGTAATTTGTCTTCAAATATGTGATTGATTTGGTCTAGTGACACATATCACCATTTAATTGAAGATTAAATTTTAATCAAAATTAAGATTAAATTAACATAATATATAAATATTGAGAATCAAATATAAAATTATACTATTTTTTTAACAACTATGCCATCTCTTTATTCAAAAGTTAACTTAATTAACAATATTTAAATAATTAAATGATCTAATTAAAAAAATTAAAAAAATTAAAAAATCGATAATTAAGATAAAATCCACTCATAGTTACATGGACATGAATGCAGTTTACCCAACTTTTATTACATTCTAAGATCCAATAATGTCTTCCAAAACTGACAATTTCGAACCCAAATCCACAGGCTTGAGCATACATTGGAATACGGGCTTGAAAGAGTGTGGAGCGTTGCTTACACGAAGGATTCCAGCAAGTAAGTTTACCGACATTGATTGTGTTATTTTATAGGCAGAGTTTGTGGTTCTGATTCTGGTTTTATAACAGGGTGGTGCTTGGGTGCGATAAAGGGACGGTTGTGGTCAACATTAGTGGCTCTCACGGCTCGGATCCTGCTAATGTTTGATGGCATTGTGGATCATAAGCTTGAAGATGCAAATCTATTACGCCTACTGGTTGTTATGTTCTTCCCGTCAGCGTGTGGGGCAACGAATAAAGGGCAGTTCGGAGTTGTAATTAATTGGGTGATATTAATTTAACCTTGTTCTTGCACTTGTGTAAAATTCCATGGAAGATAACTCATATTTCATATTAATCTTATAATATAATATAATATGCATATTTGTTCAACATATTTGGATTATATATATACAACTTACACAATATAAAACTCACAGATATAAAACCGTTTGATGAGTGTAAATAAATAGTTGAGATTGACTCCTTGTTCCCCCAATGAATATCTTCACGTTTCTTATTGTTAATTTCAGTCATATGTTTTCATTCATCCAACGGTCAGATGTTTTCATTCATCCAACGGTCATAAATCTGTGTAAAATTAATAAAATTAAAAGAGTTTTAATTGTTTCAATTATAGTACTAAATTTTAATTTTGACTTCAATTATACCATCTAACCGTTATCAACACGTAAAACAACGGTGCTTAAGGCACTAAACTTTAGTGATTTATCGAATGTTATTAAGCTTCTAAATAATTCACTTTTTTTTAATCATTTCCGACAATGAATTGTTTTCTATGATAAGATCAACATCAAAACATTTATATTTCACTTTTATTTATTCATGATTGATTTTTTTTCTAAACTAACTCAATTAATAAATATCTATCAATTTGACAATAAATGTTTATATTTTTACATATGCGATAATAGAATTCAATATTTCATGAATAATAAATCCTTCAACCACCAAGTATATACCAAATATAATTAATTTTTAAATATAATTTAACTTGAATATTATTTTTATAATCTATATTACAATATTATCCTTTCATTTAACGAAGGCAGAGAGTGGCACTTCCGTAAATCTATCCCTTCCAAAAGCATTGGGTCTCTTTCCAATTCACATTTTTACGTTAAAACACACAGAGTAGACCATTCTCTCTGTCTCTTACATTACACCAATCAAAGGCATCTCTTTCTATATTGAAACCACGATCTCGATCTCGGCATCTTCTTTATAATTTTTTTCTGCAAAAATGGTTAGTTAATTTATTGATCTGTTTGGTTCCGCATTAGATCTGGTTCAATTCCTCTTTGTTTCTTCTCAATTCTCAATTTCCTGTTTAATTTATGGAACCCGAAATGGGAAGATTTTTCAGTTATGTTATTTTCCCGCCTTTTATCATTTCAGTACTATGCAGCCAAACTAGATGGTTAGGGATTTGAATATATTGAGATCTGCCGAATGAATGTGTTTTTCTTTTATTTTCTTATTCGAATCGTTCAATGTGACTCGAAATTTCGATTTTGTTTTCTTTCACACTGTTGAATGATTTTGATTTAAGATTTTATTTGGTTTCGACTAATTGCTTGTCTTTTTTAACAGCCACTCAGACTCGAAATTAAGGTACGTGTTATTAATCTCATTTGACTTCTGTTTTATGTGTGGGCTAGATCTTATTATTTGCAAATGTGTGAGTAATGTTCTTAACTGTGATGTTTGGATCAGAGGAAACTTGCTCAAAGGTCAGAGAGAGTAAAATCCGTAGATCTCCATCCAACAGAACCATGGTGATTTCTAACTTCACTCTGTTTCCCATTTATTCGAATTTTATCTTTTTCAAGGTTGAAGGCTAAATGTGATCTATTATAAATGTAATTGCAGGATTCTAGCAAGTTTGTATACCGGAACTGTGTGTATCTGGAACTACCAGTCACAGGTATGGGAGTTTTATTGATTGCTAAAACAAGAAGCTTTTTCATATTCCATGGTAGTGAAATGCCATAATCTGAAAAAAATTGGTGAATAAGGGTTATATTTTATTATTTCGGTTAGTATCTGGAGTTTAGTTAAATAACTATCCTGTTTGGGTCTTTTTAATCCTTCTGTTCATTGTACTTTTGAAGTAGAGAAGAAAATAAGCACTTTTGAAGATTTCATGATAGAGCTTGTATTTTTGTACTGTCTGAAACATTTTCCGCCATATGTCACAGTGCAATTCTGTGGATGTTGTGGGATGCTATGCAAGAAACTATGGTTGGAGTATTAGATGGTTATTTTTCCATAGAAAACATATATGGAACTTAATTAGTTTAAGCCTTAATCCAGACTAATTTTGGCCATTCTGCTTAGTCGAAGGGCTTTTTTTTCCCTGAAAGATATAAGGTACCTAAATCTTATTTGCACAATAATAATAATAACTACAAATGTGTAATAGACTCACCTCTTCATCTCTTCACTTGAATTGATAATTTCTTTTACATTAGACTAGAGTAATCTTAGACCTATGGTATGGTACTTGAATTGACTCCTTGTGTTCATTACGAGTAATTCCATTTCTTATTCCATCACTACTTTTATGATCATCTGCTCTAATCCATGGACAGTGGTGGACACTCGGCTTGGGGGTGTTATTTATTCTTTTTGTAAAAAAGGGTATCATATAATGTATGTGTATATATAACACAAAACTTTGAGTCTTTGACTATTATTTGTTTCATGGTGTTTCTTCAATAGAAGAAACTCTTAAGAGGTTGAACAAAGCAATATAAATTTGCTTCTATTTTTAGTAGAAAATAGCCTAAAACTATCTAAAATACTACATGAGATTGTTGAAATATTTTCAATTTTCCATCAATTAAAAATTAAAGGGAATATGAAAATTTGGTTTTCCTCCAAATAATTTTTTAATATTTTTATTTGAAAATACTATAAAAATAGGGGAATGTTTCGAGAAATAATTAAAAAAGACAATAACGAAATAGAAAAAATCTTCCAAAAACTAGCTTGTAGAATAAGATCACGTTTTTTTTAAAAAAAAGTTTAATTCACATATTTGTTACTTGTCCTTTGACAATTCAAGTCAGCTAATAAAATTTATATTTTGAATGTATCTATTTAGTATGTGTGTGTGTATATATATATATATATATACATATACATATATATATATATATATAAATTTTTATTAATCTAGGGTAAGTACAAGGCAATATCTATTCATAGATAACTCTCTATCATTTGAAATTGAACGCTCCACCCTTGACATTCTTGGTGCTCGAACTCGGTCCTCAAGGATTAACAACAATTCCTTTACCACCGAGGTCGTTTGGTTTGTGCTAGTGTATGTATATATACATAAATATTAACGATTTTTTTTAAAATGAAAATAAAAGAAAACTTTCAAACATTTTTAGTGCGCCGATTGAAAAAAAAATTAAAAATTTCAGGGGGTTATTGACAATTTTCAAAATCTTGCGGACCATGCCCCCCTCTGGTTCTGCTTACCCTCAACCATTGTCCATGGAACATGGGGACATGGCTCTTTTGGCACCATGTTTTTTGCTTGTCCTTTATCTATGAAACATTTTTTGTATCTTTTTAGTTCTATGAAGAATGGACTTTTCAGGTGCACCTTGATATAATTATTTCATAAGTCTATAAATTTATTAATAATTTCATTAAACTTATTTAGTTTAAGGTTTTGAATTCTTAACATGATATTAAAATGTTATTAGCCTTGTTTTGTCATTTTGCTAGTCATTATATGTAGAATTTGAACTGTTTAGAGTTTTACTTATTCTTTAGTGTTAACTAGCTGTCCTTGGTGTACAGACCATGGCTAAGTCATTCGAAGTCACTGAGTTGCCAGGTATGTGTTCATTTGTTATGGTTCATCTATCTTTGCCTGCTGATGCTATTTTCACATTTTCTTTTTTCGCGATGATGTTATAACCATTCTCTGAAGTTGACATTTTTCATCTGCAGTTAGGTCAGCCAAGTTTGTTTCGCGCAAACAATGGGTTGTTGCTGGAGCTGATGACATGTTTATTCGGGTATACAATTACAACACGATGGATAAGGTTAAAGTATTTGAGGCACACACCGATTACATCAGATGTGTGGCTGTCCATCCTACTCTACCTTATGTGTTGTCATCGTCTGATGATATGCTCATAAAGCTTTGGGATTGGGAGAAGGGTTGGGTGTGTACTCAGATATTTGAGGGACATTCCCATTATGTCATGCAAGTGACCTTTAATCCCAAGGACACTAATACTTTTGCCAGTGCATCTCTTGACCGTACTATAAAGGTACAAAGGGCACCTTTCTTGTATTTTTTTCATTATCTTTCTTGCTTCATTTGGTATAAACTTGCTAAATCAGCTTTGGCGTTGTCTGAAATTTCTAGATTTGGAACCTTGGCTCCCCCGACCCAAATTTTACTCTGGATGCCCATCAGAAAGGTGTAAATTGTGTTGATTACTTTACAGGCGGTGATAAGCCCTATCTGATTACTGGTTCTGATGATCACACTGCTAAGGTATGCACTATGGTGGTACAATATATATTCTGCTATCTTTTGACCATAAATAAATCTTGAAGAACTATTCACAGATAAATTTTTTGGCTGCAGGTATGGGACTACCAAACAAAGAGTTGTGTTCAGACATTGGAAGGCCACACACACAACGTTTCTGCTGTTTGTTTCCATCCTGACCTTCCAATTATTATCACTGGCTCTGAGGATGGGACTGTTCGTATCTGGCATGCGACCACTTATAGGTAGAAACATTTCTGCTTTGGTATGCTTACACCCTTTGATCGCTAGACATTTGTTTTGTGGTGAGACTGATATTGTCTGGTTCTGTTTCTGCATAACAATTCAAGATTTGCCTTATTTCTCATCTTCATGTCTGAGTATTGAATTGGTTAAAGTGTCAATGCTTTTGGATTGTAAAAAAAGGTTGGCATGGGCATCTTTAGTAAACCTGTCCAAGGGTCAGGACCCGGACTAGGAAATTTGTAATTTGGGCTTGAAAATGCATTGGATTCATTTATAAAAACAAAAGTATTAATACAAAAATATTTTTATTATTTTATTTCATGTTACAGTAATTTGGGCTTTGAGCTGGCCACAAGCATGGGTAAGCAAAACATAAAATTCCCAGACCACAGCCGATAGACCGGTTAATCTTGAGATAGATGTAGAAATTCATGGTCTGGAGTCACTTTGGTTCATTACAATGATATTTCATCCTTTAGTGTTTCCTTAAGATGTTTTGATCTTAATAGTCTTTGATGCATCTGGTGATGACTTTACGTGC